AGCAGATGTGAAAACTGTACCAAAAAGTTATAAAGAAATAGGTAAAACAGGTAAAACATGGAAAGAAATCGAAAAACGTAAAAATGAAATTCCTGATAAATTATACAAAAAATTACGCGATACACGTATAGATTCTTATAATTATCTAGACATGAAACTAAAATTGATCGTTGAAACTTCATGGGAAAGTTATACAACCAAATATAACGAATCAAGTATCAGAAAATTGGATTTACCAAAATCTTGGGAAAAGGATCTTTTAGAAATAAGAAAAAAAAGGTTAAATATCGCGTTAGAAAAAAAAGATTATGTTATGAACAATATAGTCAAAAACCTAACAGAATGTCAAGACGAAAAAATTTACAACTCTCTATTACACGAATGGGAAGAAAAATCTTTTGTGGTATTTGAAGAATTTCGTAATAAAAATATGACATACAAATATAAAGATTATTTAAGCGGAAAAGAAAATAATGATATAAATGAATTATTCAAAACACAATACAGATACATCTTTACCTTTCTTGCTATCAAACGAGAAATAAAAAATGCTGAATATATCAGTTACTTGGAAACCGGAATAATTCGAAAAAGATTAGATAAAGATAAAAAATTTTTAACCAAAGAACAAATTGATGAATTAGAAAATAATATAAAAAAGCGAATTCAAGAATTAAAAACCTCTGAAAAAATCTATTAAAATGCCAACAAAATATAGTCCAGAATTAGACGTACAATTACGTAAAAATATAGAAGAATCACAAAAATTTACACAATCTGGTTTTTTTACTAAAAATGCAGAAGTTCTTGAAACCTTACTTAACGAGATAGATAGCGGACCCGAATCTAAAGATAAATTAAACAAAATGAACACTTCTGTAAAAAAAAGTTAAAATTATACGAATGAAAAGGTGACGATGATAAAGACGAAGTCGAAAATATAAATAATCTAGAAAAGTGTGTAGAAAATAATATTAATCTCTATTCTGGAACATGAATTTACATAATTGCATTTCATTAATTTATGATAACAAAATATTTTACGATTGTAATTATTATTATAAACCCACGTTTAAACAGGAACCCTCATTAGATCTATTTACAAATAACGTGATCGATCTGATCTTTAAAGGATATTTTGATGTGTTACCAAAATATGCCAAAATCGATTATGATGAAATCTGGAATTTGTTTAACAAGATAAAAAATGCAATTAATTCAGAAATGAATACCGAATCACTTGAAGAAAATAAATATTATGATAACATGATTGAAAAAAATAAAGAAAAATTAAATTTTAAATATAATGATTTACAAAATATCAGAAAAACCAGACTGAAATATTT